GCCGAACGTAAAAACATACACACACTACACTACTATATATATATATATATATATATATATATATATATATATAAACTCCCGAGATCAAATGTTACATAAAGAAGTACACTTTGCTCCTTATGCTTGGTACCTTTGGAACCCAACAAGTGGCCGGCATTGTCTCATTGGAAATACTTGCATGAAACCTGAATTATGCAGGGGAAAACATAGAGATAGACCTATCTATCCCTGCACAGTGCCCACTATAGAGATGGAGTTTTTTGAAAGACTGAAAAAAACAGCCATGTCAATTATATCCCTATAACTGACATCATTGTTTTCGTACTTTTTACAAAACAAAATGTCATGTGTAGTCCTGTCCTTACACTTGGCTCAAACTTGCTGTCTTTAGTCGTAGTAATCCATTGCACTCTCTTGGTGAAAACCCAATTCCAGATGATTGTGCCTGATAACAGTAGTCCACACACACTATGATGTTCTCTCCTATACACATTCTTTCCCCTCCTATTCTTCTAAGGGAGCATAGGAAAACCCATAGTTCTCCTGTCCCAAACCTCTGGTAATGTGGATATCGAGATATTGCTCTGCAAGTTGTACCTCCCCCCTGGAAAGAGATAGGTTGAGCAGATTGGAGTTTTAACTGGAAGTGTAGTACAGAACACTCCATTATAATATCTCCCAAGCAGTTCCTGGCGAATATGACCAGCAAGATGAGACTCGGATTTGCTTCAGGATGTAGGTGAGAGCTCCTACCTCCACCTTTTATTATGATATCCGTCCCATGTAAGTATTTTGCTAAGTTAGAACAGCTTAATGCTCTAGCCACACAGCACACTCTCATGTTTTGCCCACCTTTGAGACACGTTACCATTTTCTGCTCTTTATTGTAAATCTCTGTGATGTATGACTGAATAAATGAAAACAAGTTAGGTAAGGAGTATTTCTTACTTGAGAAGGGTGTGATCCCTCACCAGGTGCTGCGACTATGGGCTTTCCCTTTCTGTTGCTATTTCTGAAAGAAACTTATCTTTGTAATTGATCAGCACCAGCCCCTCCATCATCTTGAATGTGGGACCTTAGCGATGCAGAGTGGTATGTAGCATTTGCAAAGTTAACATTGTCGTTACCTGAAAAAGTATCTCTGATGATTACTTATCTCTCTGCACCACCTTCCCACCCTTCATCCCACTTTCAGTGCATTTTCTTTGCTTTGTCAAAATTGAGGCTGTGATCATTTGCTAGTTCTCATGAGGATTACTGCATGTGGAGGTTATGTTGCCCTCCTATACTGTACACCTAGACACTCATAGGGGTAGGAGGTTGTTCAAGGCTTGTGGCATGTGCAGGATATTCCATGGTAGCTGCACACAAGGTAACAGCTCTTATTGGTGCACATTCAGATAAGGAAAATGTTAATTCTTTTAGTTATATTTGCTCATAACAAATCTGTATGTTCTCATCATTTCACTGGCCTATTTAGTTTATTTACTTTGCAAAATATATCTTCTTTCTTGTTATTATGGAACTGTTACCTAACAATTCCACAAATGTAGCCCTACTTGGTAGCATAAAGTAAGTCTGAGGGCTTATAATGCTAAAATTCAGGTTTTGATACCTGTAATGGACATTGTATAGCTTTATGCTTAATAACAAACAAACCACAAATGTAACTAGTAACTTTTTTTTTTGTAGAGAAAGTGTACCAGGTTTTTATAGTATTTATTATTTAAAGTAGAGGCTGAACAATTAATCTTATATTTTGCACTTGACTCTGGATAAAACACGTTTTATGAGAGATTTAAGTTAAAAACTGTTTTGTTATTGTTTTTAGCATGTATGACATATGAAACTGGAGTATTTGACTTTGAAGATTTTCCACAAACTGAAGAACCAGTCTGGATTTTAGGGAAGAAGTACAGCACACTGTACGGTAAGTTAATTTTGTTTTAAAAAAAATTCCTCAAGTTACATTATTCATAATTAATGTATGGTAGTGCAAGGTTATGTTACCAAGGTTTCAGGACCATAACCAGGATTTGTTTACTGCTGAGATGCATGGAAATCCTGATCAGCATAACTGAAGATGGAAGGTCCTCCCCCTTCTTTAGATGGGGATATGGGGCGACTCCACATAATTTTGAGAGTGGACATGTTAGACACATTAATTAGACATACATGTATGTGAACAACTTTTAAGTACCCTTAACATTGTTTCTATAGTAAATAATGGACTGAAATTTAACAAAAAAAAGTGAGTACACCTATTGCAAACACTAAAAAAAATCAGTGAAAAGTGAAAGTTTTACATGTATTGTATTGTAGTGCTCTAATTAACAGTACTAACTTAGTCACCAAACAGTTGCTAAGTCTTAAATTACACAGACTCAATCCTTCTTAAGACATTGTCTAGACTTTTATCACCCACAGTTTCTTCCATACTGCTTCTATGCCAAGTTTTAAATCTTCATGTGGAAGAAAAGGATCTTTCACATGTATGAGCTTAATGATAGGGACAAAAGTCATTGCAAAACAACAGATACATCGAGGAAGAACTCCACAGAAGGATTTGACAACAATTGTTGTACTCCTTGTGGAACAGAGCTGACATTGCTAAATTTAGATTTCCATCTATCAAATCTCTGATCAAATGAAAAGATATCAGGTGTATCATCTCATTACTGTTCTAACAAATCAAACTTTAATTGAAGATTATAACTAAAAATAAGTAGCTAATAGTCCAAGAAGCTTCTCGGGAAGCATCCATCAAGATGCGAGAGTACAGGGTCAAGAAAGGGATACTTTGTTCCATCATATATATCACTGAGTCAACTGCCTTGTTTGCTTAAGATGTAGCTATGGCCCTGTGTTTAAGTTGACTCCATACAACCTTTTATGCAGTTAACATCCATCCAATCTTCCTAGCAAAAATAAGTTTTCTTTATTGACTAAATGTAACCAAAAGGAAAGGAAATATTATTTATTCACTCACACAGCAGTTATGATTTTTAGTCTTTTTTATGTTTGATCACTGACAGAAACAGTTATGCGATGTTCCCTCTAATTTTGTAATCCATGTGCAGAATGAATTTTTTCATGTGCACCAGTATCAAGGCAATATGGAGAGGGGGGAAGGGTATTTTTAGACCAGTAGGCTGCTCTGCAGTACTACCAGTTGATTATTTGGGCTTTAGGCCTATCCAATGGCATAATTAAGTGCACGGCACTTGACTGTTTGCTGTGTGGCCGTGCAGCTTAGAGAGAACACTGGTCATATGTTTTAACAAATATCTGGATTAATTGGACCTTGGAATGATTAGTAAATATTTAAATGTTGGTATACCAGTAATACCTGACTTTAATGTTGTGTTTTAAAAAATTCAATCTTACGAACAGACAACATCCCTGAACTTGTTTTGTATCATTATAATGTAAAATTCAGCATTGTTATAACTTTTTTCTGATACAATTTTGATCTTCCTCAGTTAATATTACATGCACTTGTTTACTTCATGGTTGGTGACGATCTGAGCATTGTTTACCTTCTAGCATAGCTTCTATAAATAAAGATGCTGCCTAAATGCCTAAACTTTTGACTGGGACAATAAATCAAGTCGTACATTTCCATCTTTATAATAAATTACTTTGAAAACATACGTGTAAGAAGGATTATATTATAGACATAAAGAAGTTATTGCTATAACAGCAGTATATTACACAAGCACTGAATATAGGTATCGATGTCTTGATTTAGATCTTTCTGATATAAGGTGATGTAATGGAGAAATCTTTCCTGTGAGCCTTTTTAAAGCATAAATATAAATTAGAAACATGGTAGGGTTGAATATGAAAAACAAAATTGCTTACTTATGGTATAACTGAAAAAATTCAAATCTTAAAGTGGCAAATTAGGCTTAATAACCCAAATTGGTCAGAATGTTCTTTTTCTGTAAATCTACATTAGTTGCATGGTATAATTTCCTATATAATGACAGTTTTGTTCATAAAGAGTCTAAAAGGTCCAAGAAATGGTCAAGGAGTACAGTATAAAGTTGACCTCATCCTAATAAGATTTTAGGAATTGAATTTTTGTTCATACTTAACATTTATTTGTTTGTTCTCTATATTATTCAAAGTTTGTATACTTGAAGTTTTGGTGATCTTTGGCAAAAAGTTTCTAAACCTATGATACATTTAAAGTTCTTTATACAGATTCTTGTTTTTGCAGTTATTGGCAAGTCTTCTCTGATTTTTTTAAGTTTATAGTATGAAATTTATGTAGAGGTGTTTTTGTGTATTTATTTATTCTTTATAATATAACTAAATGCGTGGCATATAATTTGTCCTATTGAATATGTAGTCACAATTCTCATTTATTTGGTTTTATATGCTTATAATTTGTTTAATCTTGGATTTTTACAGATTTAGAAGAACTCAGAAATGATGTTAAATCAAAAATATGGCTTACATATAGAAAGCGTTTTCCACCAATTGGTAAGTTGGAACTTTAGTCCTGGTAAATAATATCTCTGTTTTATTCTAAGATGAATAAATGATTTTTTGGCATCACTTTTTCACACAACTGTCTCTTTCCAGCCAAGTTTTTATGAACAGTTGTGTAAGTTAATTGAATTTAGCAGGAGAGTGGTTTATCTATTACAGTGTAAATAAGTGACTAAAATATTCCATTTCTATTGTTTAACAAACATTTTTTCCGAAAAATATCTATTTCTGTATATTACACATAAATAATGATTGAGTTAATAACACAGCTACATTTTTTTTTTGCCTATTTCATAAAAGGACACTGAGAATAATCTGGTATGTTAAATGTGATGTTTGTTACATAAAATAAACAACTCCTAGTAAATTATCATACTTTGTCAGATTTTTCTTTGCTTCTGACCAAAGCAATACGTACATAAACTAAAAATCAACTGAGCAATGAATATAGCTATTTTAAGATACTGTTTTTGTGTTATAATTGACAATGATTTGAATGCATTGTTTCATCTTTTGAGTATTCTCACTAGTAGTCATTGAGCAATGAAGTTTTATCTGTCTAAAACCTTTTGTTGCGAGTCCAGTGTTAAAGACCAGTCCTCAGGGCATACATTTGGTACTCAAACATGTATAGCAAAAAGAAAAAATATTTATATTTCAAGCCACAGTGTTTTGCAGATAAGCCATTTTGTACTTTCAGTATGTTTCTTTTACTGTATACTATGTTGTAAGCTCTATTTTCTTTGTTTTAATTTAAATGTTTGCTAGAGAGAGAGCACATCATTATAATGACATTAAGATCTAGAAAGTTAATAGAGATTGAGTTCAGTGTTAAAAATGAGAATTATTGTACCTATTTTGTATTCTGTTACTCAATCAATTAGCCATGGAATTCACCAAACAAATTTATATGTAAGTTAGGCCTACATTTGTTTTGGAGTTTATGTATTTGAAATTATCTCTACAAGTGAACATGGCTGTAGCAAATGGAATGAATTTGGTGTTATTTTTAACAAGTAATCCAAAAGAACCTGCCCAGTGGGAGAACATGTTACAACAATTCAGTTCTGCTTTTGGCTGCAGAAGTCCAGTCCAGTGGTTGAAATTGAACTAAAGGCCTTTTGGGTAGTGCTTCTTGGCAGATGAAGTTATTAGTAAGAACTTCTGAGTTAAAGTAAATTGTTTGATAATATTCCAACCACACTATATCTGCTATATTCAGTGACAGTGAGGCTTTTTGCCCAACAACAGGGCTCATCAGGTTGCTAGGATATGAGATGCGATTTATATCAGCAAATTGCTCGACAACAATTGGTCACCAGAAGGCATTATAGTTACCTTTTAATGTGGCTGTAATCTGTTAAACTGTATTAATTATGTATTCAATAGAATTGGCACTCTGCTATGACAGGTTTATGAAACAAAATTCTTTAATGATCAGTTTCTTTCTCTCTAGGTCCTTTGTTTGTTCTCTTATGCTCAGATTGGAATTGTAGGTCTTGTAAAATAGCATTTTCCTAATTCTGAAATTTAGATTTTATGAATCCATTTTTATATTGCACTCTCTTCTTCTTTTGGTTTGATTATATCGTGACCTAAGACGAAGCAGTGGAGATTATGGTGGCATGTTTTGAACATGAAGCAAGTTTACATTTATATACTTCCTTTGATGTTGTTATGTTTTCACTAACAGTAAATAATAAAGTATTTTCCTGTGTAAATATTTATATTGGAAAGTCTGGTGCATGCATGCAGTATTCTGTTTAAATCTATTTATTGAAAATAATTTGCTTAATTGTGAATAGTTTAAATAGGATTTCAAGCTACTTCATTTAGCTGTGTTAGTCTGAAAGAGAATTTATTCTTATTATTGATGAAAACATATTAGGTAGTATGACGACACATCATGTTTCTTTACAAATCAGGTGACATTGGTCCTACAATGGATACAGGTTGGGGTTGCATGTTACGTTGTGGACAAATGGCTTTGGCTCAGACACTGATCAACCATCATCTTGGAAGAGGTATGTGTATTGTAAAAGTTATGACGAACATTAATGCATCATTCGTACAGTATAAATCCAAAAAGTTCAGTGCCCTATCAGTTGGCTATACATCTTTTTTTTGGTGTTATTTCTTCCATGCAGAGAACTTATGAAGGATAGGAAATAATGATTATTCTCTTGAGAAGAAACGAACAAAATACTTTTATTTGGGATATTTATCTTTGCAAGATACATTCTAGTAAAACAAAATAGGTTATACAAAAGGTGTCTGGCTGTTGTTGTAGTTAAAAGTGCACATCAGTTATACCAATCATAAAATTTTAAGTATATTCTCTCCTCCTGCATTAATTCAACTTTATTCTGCTCTCAGTTTGTACTTTAGTTAGCCAATTAAAAAATTTCTTTGGTACTATTAGGTACATCCTTCTAATGTATGTAACCAACACCCTTCCTTCATGTTTGATGGGTGCCATCACCCCAATGTTCTGAAGCACCTGTAGAATGAGTTTTGTGAGGGCTTGTTAGAGCCCCCCACCAACTCTGTCATGATGCCCATTGTTTTTGGGCCCACTACTGGTCCTTTTTATTCTTATCAAGGAATAAATTCTTTGGAATATTGATCCTGATATTATTTGTTATTGCATTATCTGTGCAATTAGCTGTTGTTTGTATATACAGACAAGCTCACAGATAACTTCATGTGACCCTATTGGCTGTTATTATCCCATCCCAAGCAGCATTTTTCCTTGCTACACTAATGTTCAGCTAATTGATTATTCTCGTGTGAAATTTTGATAGTTAGAATAATTGGAAAATTGTAAGCACTAATTTCACTCAATTAGTTGATTATTTTCATGAGTTATTACACTAATTGATTAAGCTGAACAGCCTTGAAATATTCAAAAATGATGAGATATCATAAGGGCAATATTTTGATTTATCAGATAGTAGGAATAATCGGAAACACTTATTTGAATTAGTTGACTATTTTTGTGACATCAGTTGATTTAATCGTAATATCTATTGATTATTTTACATGACACTATTCAGTGATTGTGTTGATGCTCATAGGTAATCAATTAATTGCTCTGCTCTACACGGCTATTTAAGAAATGAGAACATATATATGTGTGTATGTTTGAGTGAAAGAATAAAACCTTTACAAAAAAAATTTATAATATTTTTTTTTAATTTTTATACAAGGATATGTTTAAAAAGTGGTTGGTCTCTTCATTCTGTAATAGACAATGTAGTTGACAGGGCCAGGTATTGTGGTCTAGTTGTTAGTGTATTGCATTTTGACTTTAAATCCAAGGATTTTTGGTTTGTGGCCCATTACCTTGGAAATGCACTTTCTGTTCATGGTAATTGGTGTTAAATCCCACCACTGGTAGCTTAGACAAGAGTAGCCCAAGAATTTTCAATGGATGTTGTTTACTAACTGCCTTTCCTATACTCCGTTAGTTCGGAATCAGCCAAAGGCCGTAGGCAGATAGCCTTTTGTGTGGCTTTACGTACAAATTTCTGTCTTGTGATACAGATAGTAAACTGTGTTTCTAGACATAAGCATGAAACATTTATGTACTTGATTTGATAAATGGCTGTTCTCTCTTACAGAATGGATGTGGGAGCGAGATGTGATAAACCCAACATATGTTAAGATCCTTCAGATGTTTCAAGATAAGAAAAATTGTATCTACTCTATACACCAGATAGGTAAATGTTTTATTTTTACTTTAAGTATTATCAGAAAATATAGTTATTTTCTATTGGAATGTATAATAGCAAAAAAAAATTCTCAACTGTATTACATTATGTATAAATTTTTGTTAATCACCTCGAGAGACTTGAGACAAACTGTGTGTTAATGGTAACATGATATTTAAATAAGAATGTAAATATTTAACACTAATAAAATAACACAATATTGTGTATATCAGTTAAAATGTTAGTTTGTTCCACTGACTTTTTCTTTTCTTTTTCTGTTTACTGTCAGAAGACTTGAAATTAGAGAAACAAGTCTTGAAACCTTCATGCATTCTCTTCAGTCTCGTATCATCTTCTGACAGGAAAAATAGATGTTGTTGACCACTTTTCAGGGCAAGAAGACAATGTGAAACCAAAGATGACACATGAATGCCTTGAAACGTGTGTGTGTTTCTAATTTCACTTCTTCTGATAGTTTGTCCACTGACTTTTTTTTTCTCTCCCTAACTTTTCAACAGTTTCTTAACTGGAATGAACAAACTACTTGTCTGTAATTTTTTTGATTAACTCTTTGACTACTGATATAGGTGCAATGCACCCAGTAAGTAACCACCAAAATAACCATGAGAGTATTCATATTATAACTTTTGATAACATATGTTTATCTTCACGAAATTTTGCAAAGTGTTAGCAAACATTGCAAGACTTTTGTACCCAAAATATAATTAAAGATTTGCTTTTTCATTATCCAAGTTGATTGTACAAAGTAATTTTTATTTTAAGACTAAAAATGCTCTTCTTCATCTGAAAATTGTCAAATTTCATTTGAATAATCTCTTAGAAAATCTTTATATTTTTAGCTGTTATTTTCTCTACCTTAACTCTATATGGGGTTGGTTGAATTGGCTGACCTCGTAACCACCCTAAAAGTTAGGAAATTCTGATTTACTCCCTTTTTTCGTTCTAAATAGCTTAAATCATGTAAGGGTATACATCTATTTATATTTATTAATTTTTTGTTTATTGACATTTGGACCATGTCTGACGAATAATACTTGCCACACAAGTGGTGCATGTACAACTCTTATTACTGTATTGAATATCATAAAACTGACCCTTACAAAGTACAGATATCTTACTCTTCTTGATCTTAGTGAACCAATAGTTTGTAAAATGTAATCACAATTCAGTTTCCATCCATTACATGTATGTGTGTGTGTGTATATATGTATATATATATATATGCATGTATGTATGTATATATATATATATATATATATATATACACACACACACATATATATATATATATATATATATATATTACTTATTAATAATTAATTAACTTAA